GTTTCCCATAGAAACAGCAAAACCTCAATCGGACGTAAGTTCTTAGAATCTTCTTCTCAGTGTGGAAAGCGCAGCCTCACCCCATACCTGTGTGTCTTCACACAGATGGATGGATGGCAACCGTGGCATCTTTTCTCGTGTAAATATGGCAAAAATCATCTTTAAGAGGGGAATTGGAGCTGACCTGGGGGCCAGCAAATAGGGGGTCACAGATGCGCTAAGAGATGTTCCAATCAAAATTCCAGCCGGGCCGCCTCGGGGGACCCGCAGGGAGGCCTGTGTGCGTCGGGTGGGCTTGGCCCCGCAGCCCACACTTCCTGGCAACCTTTCGCCCACATCAATGAGGTAATCTGTTCAAAATGACTCTGAGAGGCACCTCTAATGCATGCAGCACAGCACACCTGCAGGCAATTGGAGGCACGCATACCTCGGGTGCCATCTCGGCTCTCAGAAACCACGCGGCCGGCGATCAATACGGCCGCCGTTCACAGTGGTAACGCGGGCTCCGGGCCAAGACATCTGTCTTCGTGGAAAGAGAACCAACCCCTTCCCACCTCCCCCCACCCCCCAGCCCTCATGCCCCTGCGTTTACTAGCGCACCCTGTGCGTGCACAGTTTAAGGCACAGGGGTTTTGTTTATTGTTTTTCTTTTGTATATAAATTACTGTTGATAGTATTACAGAGGTCTCCCTTCCCTCCACCCTCTCCCCCAGCCCTTACCCACCTACCCCTAGGTCTTCTGCCCCGCATTGTGCGTGTCCATGGGCTGTGCATATCTATATATATAAAAGGCTAAGCGACCATCTGACCGTCTGACTGGTGGCTATGATGTGCACTGACCACCAGGGGGCAGATGCTCAAGCAGGAGCTGCTGAGCTGCGGTGACATGGCAGCGGCGGTTCTCCGGCGATATACCCAGAACCAAAGAGGAGGGAGCCCAATTCTGGGGTGCGTCACCCAAGAACCACCTTCTCATACTCTGGGACTCCTCGGGATGTCGGAGAGCTGGTTTCAGCCCAATCTTCCCCACCCCTACCCCCACCCACAGGCCAGGCTGAGGGACCCCACCTGCCAGAGGGATCCCGCTCACTCCACAGACGCCCTTCGAACCAAGGTGCAGCTGGCAGGGGAGGGACCATGGGAGGTTGGCTCTGGGGCATGCCCGGACAGTCTTGCCCCTTCCCGTCCACCCCAAGCCATGCAGAGTCAGGACAGGCTACAGGCAGTTACAGGCACCCTGGGGTGGGAGCGGTGCCCTGCCTGTTCGAAACAGCCAAGGGCGTCCCGGGCATGGAGATGGCCCTCCCTCTGTGTGGGTGGAGGCCAGGCTCAGACAGGCTCGGACCAGGAGTAGCAATGACCATGTGAAGAGGGCCACCCTGACCTGCGTGTGTCACGTGAACAAAAGGACCCTTTGCTGCTTTAGGCTGCTGGGACCCGGCTGTCAGCAGACCCAGAGACCAACGCTGTTCACAGGCGACGAGGGCCAGAGATCAGGTAAGGGGACAGGTGGAGGTGAGGGGGAGGTGACTGTGGTCTGGGACCAGGTATGCCCATAGGGGTGGGGGGCAAGGAGGTGTCAGGTAAGATGTCCTGGTGGCTTCGTGGGCCTCGGCTGCGGCCATATCAGGCCACTGACCACCGATCGGTGTTGGTCACAGAAGCAGTGACAGCTAGCGGTGTGAATGGGGACTGGGACAAGGGTGTGCTGAGCGTCGAGGGCGTGTTCCTGCCCTGAGCTGCAGACTGGGAGGGAGGGTACTTCAAGCGTCCTCCATGACAGTCCACGAGACTCCACGGGCCAATGGCAGTGAGGACCCCGCCCGGAAGCCGGAGCTGACATCGTCCTGGGACCTCGGACACCGTCCACGGGCCGGGAATGGGACAGCTTCCTTGCTGGGGACTACGGAACCCCTTTGCCACAGCTCGCCATTCCCAGGCATGTGTGGCAGCACGCCAGGAACTTAGTAAGTCCTCTAGCATTTGGTGCTCGGTGGAACAGTAACGCCTCTCTGGGCCCAGGGCCTGGGAGGACTCTCTGGAATCGATCCACGTTTGCATGGAGGGGGCGGGCGTTGTCAGACGTTGCCATGAGCAGGTCAGTGATGGCGCCATAATAGCCTAGATTAGGGCCACATGCTGGCTGCTTGGGCTGCTCAGCCACTGCAGCTATAGAGGCAGGACAGAGCGGTGGGTCTGCTTTCTTTTGAGTGAGGAACTCGCTCGTCAGAGGCTGATGTCACGTCCCCACACTCCTCTCGGTGGGGCCGGGCGGCCAGGGGGTCGGGCAGGAGACAGACTCCAGATACGCCTGCTGCTGCATTCTCTGTAAGTCTGCACTCTCCCTGGCACATGGGGGCTGCGTCCTCCCTGGTACCTGGAGGTGAGCCATGTTCTCGGGGGAAGACGCTGCCTGCTTATCCACGTGGCCCGTTGCCAGGGGAGACCCTTGCCTCACCCCACACCTGTCCCAGCAAAGGACCTGTATTTAGCACGAGCCAAAAATTAGTTTAAATAACCAACATTCATGGAAGTCAGTGAAATGCATGTATCTCCCCCACCTCGAGACCAGTGGGCTGTCCAGGGCTTGTCCTCGGGACTCGCACAGGAGCGGGTTCAGGGATGCGGGTGCCCGTGGACCTGCACCCCCTCTGGCCTCAGCCGTGTCTCCCTGGCACTGGGCTGTGAGGCGGCTTTCCTACAAGTGGAAGGAAAGGCTTTGCAGGGATTTCATGAAAAATGATAAGGAAACTCCATAGGATGGGCCCCCGAGCGGCTGAGCAGCAGAGCCGTGGGGAGGAAGGGCCGCAGGTCCCAGCCCTCTTCCCGAAGGGGTGGCCCCTGGGCCCGGGGCGGGCAGGCTGTGTCCTGACAGCAGGTCCTCCGCACGTGGAGATGCTGCCGTTAAGTCTGAAGCAGGTGAAACCATGCCAGTGGGACACAGTCACTGATGTGTTCTCTTTGGAAACTACAGCTTGGGCGCCACCTACCGTTCATGTCCTGGACACGGAGGTTTTCTCAGTCAGGATATTGGGACACAGGCCCCACTGATTTAGTTCCTGAAGTTGAATCTGGGGGAAATCCCAAATGATATAGTGTTTTTCTTTGGCTTTGGCATCACTCAGCTCACTGCTTGCTGTCCTAAAAACTTGTATCTGGCCTCTCAGAGTCTGAGGTGGCAGTGTGTGCCCGAGGACGAGGTTCCTAAAACAGCAGGATCACGAGGACCAGCCCATGTCCTGGGGCCCTTTCCTTCAATCTGCTCTTCCTATGGGATGATGGTGCGGCCAGAACACGCTCCTCCATCACAGTCACAGCAGCACAGGGTCCCGCCAGCACAGGGTCCCGCCAGCCCCGCCTCCTGTTCTGGTTCCTATTGGAGCCAGTAGTGAGTCACCAGGGAGAGGGCAGGACCCTGTGCAGCTACTCACTGGCTCCCCTCACCCTGGGGCTGGGAAATGGGCCTAAGTCCCAGGAGTCTTAGTCCCTCTGCTCAGGGCCAACTCCAGGGAGTGAACATCTCATCACCTCTCCCCGGGCACCAGCCAGCTCAAGCTGATCAGCTTCACTACAGAAGCACAGTGTGATGGAGGCTGAATGTTATGCTACAAAAAATTAAAAAGACGAAATTCCACAAATGTCTACTAAACAGATTTCAAAACTGAATCCTTATATTACATGCCAAGTATAAATTGTTATTTTTTAAAAAATATATCTTTATTGATGTCCGAAATGGAGGACAGAGCATCAATGAGAGAATCATTGATCAGCTGCCTCCTGCATGCCTCCCACTAGAAATTGAGCCCGAAACCCAGGGCAGTGCTCTGACCAGGAATCAAGCCGTAACGAAGCAGCAAAGGGGGCCTGGTCTGCTTCGTCCCAGGACAGAGCTGGTGTTCCCGGGCCCGGTCTCATGGGAGAGTCCAGGATGCTGAGACGTTAACATCCTTTGTCAGGACCTCACTTCCCAGGTCTCATTCATGGTTCCTCCTTATTTCTGCCTTGGCACTGCTGTTGTTCTGAGTCAGGTCACCTGGGGTGGACGGAGGATGCTTAGCGGTGTCCTGGGGCCCACCCCTCATGACCACCCAGTATCACACACCTGGGCCACACGTGCTGGGAGACAACCAGGGGCCCGGGAAAGCGGTGACATGTGACAGTGCCCAAGCATGTGAGTCAGTCTGACGGTTTTACATGGAGTTAACACTAATCACAGACACGCTGCGAACTGCTTAGCTCAGCGATTCTGTTCAGTATAACTGGAGGCTCCAGGACACAGCCCACAGGTGTTTGCTTTAAATGCCTGGTAGGATGTGTCTACAGCGTGGGCGGCTGCTGTGTGTACGTTTTTTGTTTCAAATCCTCGAGTATGACGTAATACCATGCTGAAGGGCACCAGCTGTCAATCACCCAGGCACCCAGCGCTGGAGGCACTTATCCCCACGGAGTGTGTGGAGAGGGGCCAAGACGTATGGACACTTAGCTTCATACCAGGGGCTGTGAGGACTCAGTGGCCCGCGAAGGAGAACCCTGGCCCACCAACGCTGGCGCCTTTCCCACCAGCACCGCGCTGTAGCGACAGGGACTTTCAGCTCGCACTGTGGCTGGGCCAGCTCCCAGTGGCTATGCGGCTCCTCCGATGGCTGGCTCCGAGGCCCACCTCCACCGGCACGGGCTTTGTGCCGGAGCCTCAGGACCCACTGTCACTGGTCAGAGTGTGTCCATCATGGCGACTGAGATGATGTCCTGAATGCTGTGACTTGTGAGGGATTATCACACATCGTAAGTCTTGCAGGAGCCCCAGGTTAGTAACAGTAAACAACTGGCAAAGACAGCCTGAGCCTGAGCACAATCAGCTGAGATACAACAGCGCCTCGAGGAAGCCATCTTTCCAAACGACAGTGGCTGTGGGACGGGCCTACCACGCCAGCACTTAGTTCTCAGGATGGCAGCAGGAACGCACTCATGGACGCGGCAGGACAGCTCCAGGAACGTGGTGGCTACTCCTCCTTCCTCCTCTTCCTCCTCTCCTTCGCCTTCTGCTGCAGGGCCTTGAGGTCGGCCATCACAGTCAGCGTCTTCCGGACCCACAGGACCTGAAAGCAGGGGTTTGGAGATCGAGCACACTGGGACACGCACAGGGAAAGCGAGGATGCAGCCATGGTAAGTACGCACCACAATGATCATGGCGTTGAGGAGCAATGGCGCTGAAAACACCAGTGAAATGAACATCCCCCTCGAGTCGAAATACTGGTATTTCGAAAAGGACCTGTTTTAGGAAAATTTAAAAAATCACTTGGTGTAGTGAAACAATGTTTTAAATGCCGTTCCCTACTTAGTGTGAGGCTTCTGGAGGTCTTAGGTCCCGAAGGCAAACCTCCTCCCTATCCCCCCTCCGTGAGGGGTGGTCCCCGGAGGGTAGAGGCTTCAGCATGCTCTCCACACAGTCCATGCACACCCCGCACTATCACTCCACTTCCTTACTCTGCCGCTAATGTCACTAGCAACAGCCCCTGACCCCTCTCTCCCTCAAGGTCATGTCCAGCACCACCCAGTCTTCAGCGGCACCGCCAGCAGGATCGTAAGGAGCGCTCCAGGCGGGGCTGCTGTGCTGCATGTGGGGGCTCTTTCCAGAAAGCAGAAGCCGGACAGCGACCTGCCCCGACCAGCTCACCTCCAGTTCATGGCGGCCATTTCATTGATGTACTCAGCACAATAGACCAAGGTCACTGCAAGAGAAACTGTGTTAGAACCTGCGTGATTGACAGCTCATCATGTGGTCACATCCTCTACAGACCATGTTCAGTGCAAACACACAAGATAGCAAGATAAATGGCATTCCTCCTTTACATACAATGTAAGACAACAATCATAAAACTAAAATGCCAGGACATCCTTCACCCAGAGGAAACCAGGCCCACACATGTCAGCCTCCACGTCTCGGGGAAACACACACAGCTGGTCGGCAACACGCAGCCACGAGAATCCAGTCTTCTGCCCAAAAACCAAGAGCCACCTGCTGGCTATTTGCCCAGTTTCCTACATGCCCCGGCACAGGTCAGGCCAATGGTCTGCGGGGCAGCAGGGCCTAGAGCCATGGAGCCCCATCCTCGGGATTCCGACAACAGGGGCCGCCCTGTGAGCAGCAGCATTGGGGGCCAAGCCGGGCAGCAGGAACCCAGCCGCAGGGATGCTGATTTGTGCCCGAGTCCTTCCCAGTGTGCAGCCACCCTGCCAGAGCGAGCATCCCTAACCCGTCTTGCATAACTGGTACTGACCCCCTCCCTGGTAAGGTAGGTGCTTGGTAGATTCCTTTCAAATACAACATCCAAATTTATCTGCAGAATTCCCAAGAGCGAAATCAGGGCAAGTCCTGAGACTAAGCAGAGCCTAAACAGGAGGGCTGGGTCCAGGGAACACACTACATGCCGAGAACACACAGGCACATCACACCGCGCTGTCCATTCCACTCACCAAGGCACAGGAAGTGCCCGACCTGCAGTTTGTATCGTCGGGAGGACATACACGTGAGCAGCAGGCAGAGCGCATGGAAGACGACCAGGCCGAGGAGCCAGGGCTCCGTCCAGTCTGTCTGCTGTGGACACACATTGGGCACTCGTCACCATCAGCTCCCTCGGGGGCCCGGCCTCAGGTCCCCAGGGTCAGAGGGGAGTCAGCGGCCCCTCACTCTTGAGTACTTACTTCTGGGACTACTGAGCAAGGCGTCCAGAGAGGCCCTGTCCCCAGGCTCACAGAAGAGGGGGGAGCAGAGGGAAGGGAAGGAGGGAACCAGGGCCCCCTGGGACTGAAGAGGAATTCGGGGTCTAATGCTGGAGCACAAAGGGGTGGCCTCCCCGATGGGCCCTCGGGTTTGTGGCCTGGCACACTATGAGGTGAGTGGAACCCAAGGGCCATTGTCCCAGGAAGGAGGAAGAAGTCAGGGGCTAGTTCAGGAGATGCATTTGGTTACTCCCCCTGAGAACCCCTATTTCAAGCCTCTAGCACTTCAGGCCTTGAGAAATCTGAGCCATCCCTACTGGCAAGACTCCCTTTTCCTTCTGCCCTACATGCAGCCTGCCAACAGTGCTGCGAGCCCAGGTCTGCTCAGCTCCACGCGGGGGCAGGTCCTCCGCCCAGGGTCAGTTGCCCCCTGTGCTCAGATCCACGCCCTGCCCTGATCTGGCCTCATGGACTCAGAGTCCCAAGCCTTCAGGCCTAGTGTGGCCGCCCTCCCGCACGCCGGGCCCCGCAGGACCACGCAGCCGGGGCAGGTAAGCTGGCCATGAGCTATGTCCATCCCCTCGCGTCCCAGGGCCCAGAGCGAAGGGCACAGGGGTGGGGGGGGGGACTGGGGAAGAGCAGCACCGCGCCACACCCCCACCTCCCGGCCCGCCCCAAGCTTTCAGGCCCCGCCCCGGAAGCTCCACCAGCCACCCGCCCGCTCAGGCCCCGCCCCCAACGCGCGGGCCGGTGCCGGGGCGTCCACGGCGGACGAAGGGAAGTCCGGGGCAGCTCCACCACCAGCACCGAACTGGCCGCCGAGTTACCATGATGACGGCGGGAATGCTGTCGGGGAAGGAGGTGACTGAGAAGGCGGACGGCATTGTGCCAGCAACAGCCGCCCTCGCCTCCGCCGTCGGGCCGGTCCCGCCCGACTACCGGTACGTGTGCCTCTGACGCCGCCTCTCGCGTTCTCGGGTGTCGCGAGACCCGCGGTGCCGGAAGTGGGCGGTGACCCTGTGAACGCGGACAGTGCTCACGTCTCGCGGTATTTCGTGCCACCCTAGCGACGGCTGACAGTCCTCGCCGGCCTCCCGAGGCTGCGGGCGGTGCTGCTGCCAGAGGCGGCCTGACGGAGCCTCCGCCCGGACTGTGCACGCGGCCCGTCCTCCACCGAGCGGGGGCGCGGGGAGCCCGGGGAGCCCGAGGTGAAGTCCGGGGCAGGTTACGGCGAAGCACCCAGAGCCCCGCGAGTTTCTGGTGCTTTTCCTGGGAGGAAGGGAAGTGGGTCGGGCTGCGCTCCCCTGGCCCCTCCCATCCTCCCGCGGCTCCTCTTCCCGCCCTAACGCAGCCGCCGCGGCGCTCGGTCTGCCCGCCAGGCTCCCAGGACTCTGATGGGGTGAAGGGGCGGCGCCCCGGTGGAGCCAGCGCCCCGGGCTCAGGGTCCCCCCTCCCCGCCTCTGCCCTCTCGCTCTGTCCTCGCGGCTGCCCCTTTGAGTTCAGTGTCCGCCTCATTTTCGATGATAGATTTTTTTCCTTTTCCCAAAGTCAGGCGCACAGTGTTGCCAACACCGGAGTGGGCAGATCCGGAAATATCCAAAACGATCCCTCACGTGCAGCCCAGAATGTGTTCAACACCCAGCTGACATTCTTGTTCTCGTCCCTCATCCGCCCCAGGAGGTGACACTACCCTCCTGCAGGCGGCCCCAGGCCCGGCGAGGTGCTCAGGCCGGGAGAGCCGGGGAGCGCCAGGGGCCGGGCGGCCGTGGGCTCCCAGCGGGGCCGCAGTGTAACGGCGGCGCCAGCAGGTGGCAGCACGAGGCCTGTGCCAGGTCCTGCGCTGTGGGAACCTGTACACCTTTTCCGTGGTGTTTGCAACAAAAAGTTTTCACATATTCATACTGTTGAACTGAGAGGTTTTAGTCAACACCATTTAATTTTAGGCAAGAAAGTTGTACACCATGGGATAGCTAAATGTGTTACTTTGAGGGTTCTTTATTAGATTGCCTTTTAAAAAATTACTTTAAAATGTGCTTGTGCCGAAAACGGTTTAGCTCAGTGGATAGAGTGTCAGTCTGCGGACTAAAAGGTCCTGGGTTCGATTCCGAACCCAGGGCATGTACCTTGGTTGCGGACCCATCTCCAATAGGATGTGTGCAGGAGGCAGCTGATCGATGTTTCTCTCTCATCGATGTTTCTAATTCTCTATCCCTCTCCCTTCCTCTCTGTAAAAAATCAATAAAATATATATTTTTAAATGTGCTTGTGAAAAATCTATAATCATGGGTAATAAAGATTCACATCTTTATTGTGTGTAAAGTGGCTAATAATGCCTTTCTGAGGTGGTTTCTAGGGTTTGTGATAATATGCCCTAAAGGCCATGCATTGTGCCGAGTGGATGTTTTTGCTTAATAAGTGATAACTTACTACTTCTGTAATGTCCCAACCCAGCTCTCCCCAGACCCTCTTCTTTTTAATGCACAGACAGCATTCCTCTGCTTCCCTCTCCGTCCTGCACACGGTAGAATGTGCGTCAGCCGTGCAGAGCAGCACAGCGCTTTTATTTCCGGCTGGGAGGAGTCACAATAGCCCATCTGCTCTGTGTGCTGCATTGCACATTGAAAATCAAGTCTTGAAAAAGGCTTAAAGGCCAGAAACATTTTGTTAGAATCTACAGCCGATTCAGGCCCAATCAGTGTGGCTGTGCAATTCAAATCACTTTTCCTAATATGGATGTTTCTGCTCCATTAATCCAACTGTTTGCACAAGTCTTTTCTGAAGCTGGAGATTGGGTTTGCCTCATAAGTAGATCTTCTATGGAAGATGTAAGTTTCTTGATTTTTTAACTTGCCAGGTTCAGGTTTCTCTTTCTGTAAAGGAGTCGGACACGCATAGGACACGGTTCTACATGAAACTATCTTCTTTCACAGAGTCCTAGGGAGAGCATCCAAGAGACCCACGCGAGGGCCGTGGCATGGTGAGGGTAGAAGGCTGGCCCTGGGTGTGCAGTGTCTCACCTCTGTCCCACCGCGGAAAAAGTCCAGCCTCTTCATCACGTATGTTCCTATTGTGTTTCTATCATGCCATTTTTTTCACTACAAGCCATTTAATGTATCTTAATAATTACCTTTACCAAAATTGTCTACACTGAACATCATAGGCATGAGGTTAAGAAATTCTCTTCATTTAAGAATTACTCTATCCAATAGGACTTACTCTAATAATCTGACGTGATCATCATCGGATCTAACAGTCAGATCCTGGCAATTAGAAGTTAGCCATCAAAATATAAGAGTTGGTGTGCAGTTTGGGAAGGAAGAAATATACTGTCTTTGCCCACAGAAGGTATGCCTGCATATGTAGAAATGTCAGACTCAAGAACAGCAATCTCCTGGAACTGACGGGGCTGCAGCACTGGTTGCAGAGCTCATACTCAATGCACAAAAGCCATCACTTTCCTACACTCCATCCGGGAACCACTGAAACCTGAGATTAACTACCCAGTGCCATGGGCATAAGCACCAAAACAAGGAGAAATGCTGAAGCCTAAGACTAAGAAATTACAAAGTAAATGTAAGGAAAAGCATCTCACTCGTGAAGAGTCAGAGGAGAGCTGATTGGAGGTAGAGATGGTCCATGTTCCTGGGGAGGTGACTCGATATTGACCAGATGTCTCTTCCCAACCTGACCTCACAATGCCCTTCCTTCTTTCTGGCTGGTCACCCTGGTGCAGTATTATATACCATCTCCTTACATCCCCAATCCTAACGTTCTCTCCTTCCTACCGGCTGCTGTCTTCTATTTAAACTTCATGTTATAACAATAACCATATTGTATTACCCGTATTTTCCGGCGTATAAGACGACTTTTGAAACGAAAAAAAGTCAACCGAAAATCGGGGGCAAAAGACCAAAATTGCACAAAAATTACCTGCAGATCTTGACGGCAAAGTAAGTCTTTTCTTTGAAGTGGGGGGTAGTCTTATACAGCGAATATAGACCTATACCTAGGTTTTAACTGTAAAATTAGGGGGGTCGTCTTATACGCCGGAAAATATGTTATTTTTGTTTTAAATAATTAACTTTTGAAGAATTCAAGGGAATAAAGGAAAAACTGTTTTTACATGCATATATATCTACTATTTCTACTCCTTATTCTTTCTGCTACAGTTTCTCTCCAGTTTGAACCTCCTTCAACATTTTGTGAGGTATGAGTCTGCTGGAAGCAACTTCTCTCCACTGTAATTCATCTTAAGCTCTATTTATCCTTCATCTTTGAAAGATAGTTTTGCTAGTTATATTTTTAAATTGACAGTCTTTTTTTTTCCAGTGCCATTTGCTTTGGGACTCTATTACCTTTGTGACAAAACCTCATCCATCAATCCCCTCACCCTTCCCTCTTCGAGAGAACCTCTGCTTTTATCTGGCTCCCTTTTATCCTGGCTTCCTTTTATCCTGGCTCTGTTGGATCTCTGGGCGGCTGTCTGTGTAATTAATACTGTTTGGGGCTGGCTGTGATTTCTTTTTTAAAAAAATATTTTTTTATTTCAGAGAGAGAAGGAGAGGGAGAGGGATTTAGAAACATCAATGATGAGACAGTATCATTGATCGGCTGCTTCCTGCATAGCCCCTACTGGGGATCGAGCCCGCAACCCAGGCACGTGCCCCACAGGCTGACGCTCTATCCACGGAGCCAAACCAGCTAGGGCTGGCTGTTCTGCAGATTGCTATTTAAGATAAATTGGGGTTATTTGCTGCCAAATTTCTTCAAACATATTTTCTGTCTCTTTTTTGTTGATATTGTTTTCTTCCAAATTACCCACGTGTTTCTGTTTCTTCATCCTGTTCCTGCCCCAGGTGATGGAGGCTTAGCTGTGTTTTTCTCACGGGGCTTCAGTTTGGTAGAAATCAAGGCACTTGGGGTCGCATTGCCCAAGCCAAGGAGAAGGGTCGGGTCACGAAGCCGACCTTCCTCTACCGTTAGAGTCCCCACGTTACACCTCACTGGCCTCGTCCTCCTGACGGTGATGAGACAACCCCCATGTCAACACAGAGAAACCCACCACTCGCCCGGAGACCGAGCCGAGGTCACGGTCACACGCTCTGTCGTGAAGCAGCCTGAGCTCCCAGATGCTTTCCCATCGAGTGCTGTGCCAGAGGAAATGCACAGCTTCATCGACACTGGTGAGCCCCATCAGGTCTCTGCAGGTGGAACGCTTAGGTTCAGCCATAAACGTGGTTTTTAACGTGATGACATATTACGGCTGAGCAGGGACCCCCCTTCCAGAGCCCCCTGCTTGGCTGGCGTTGGGCAGGGGCGGGAGGGGAATTTGGAATCTGAATCTGGCAGCTGCCCAGGTCCACTGATCACCCTACTACTTCCTTTTTAGAAAATTAAAGCCATGGCTCATGGCCGGCCATGCGGGCAGTGGGTGGCTGAGCACTCAGCTGAGCGTCTTGAGCTTTTGAAGGAAAAAAAAACTTGCAGAACGAGAAACAAGCATTTCCTGGTGAATAGGAGCCTTAGGACTCGGAAATGAAGCAGGGCCCTGGGGCTTATTGAACATTTCCGGTGGACTTATCTCCACTTGGAAAATGCATTACAGAGCCCTCTGCGGTGAGGCATGAGATGAGACTTCCCATATCCTGTGAGTCCTGCTATCTCCCCCACAGGCTGACCGAGTGTGTGACTGTGGACGTGTCCCGTGGGGGGATGGGGAGCGGCTGTCTCCCTCGGGACTCACCGGTGTGGGGTCCAGACCAGGGCTCCCTCCTGAGCGCCCTGTGGCCTCGAGTTCGATTCTGGCACCTGATGGAGGAAGGACAACCCGCTTCTCCACAAGGTCAGCATCGAAGGGGCAGTTACCCTCGTGGATGGGCAGATG